CCTTCGAGAGTTGAATGTTGTTTTTGATTGAATGTTTTCTTTATTGATATTTATTATCCATTTTTGAAAATACCTAATTATCCTTCTAAGTTGTTCAACCTGTATCATTTTAGTTGGAAGCTCGTCATCGAGATTTCTTGGATCTACTGCTATTTCTTTGACTTTCTATATACTGTTTGGTTTCTAAATCTTTTTTCCTTGCTAAATTTCCTTTTACAATTCTATAACTTTCAAATTCATGTTCAATCTCTTTGATTCTATACCATTGATTTCTTCTGAAGATTGGGGGATGGTGTTTTATTAATTATATGATTATAAGTCGAATTTGGTGATGTTTGGGTGTGACTGTTATTTATTAATGATGACTGCCTTTGGTTTGGTATTATATTGATTTTTGATTTTTATAAAATGTTTTAATATTAACTTTCTTAAAGGCTACTAATAACCGAGGACTGATTATTGATTTACTGAGTAAATACTAATATTGGGGTATTTAAATATTGTGCTCGATTATTAAATTTATTTTAATACTGAAAAGATTTCGGGTAGGCTTGATTTATTATATTTTGCATGATTTGAATTTTACTCGAGATTGAAAGACTTTGAAAGAATTTGAGTTTCTGCGACTTTGTGACTTTTTATGATAGTTATTGATATTGGTTTTGAGATTATTATAATATAGAAGTAATATTTCGTGGTTGGATTTATTAGGCCAGATATTTATATAATTGATTAAAATCCTTTCATTCATGATATCCACGACAGCAGATCTTGTAAGGGTATTGAATGGTTTTAATTGGTAAATCTATCTTTTGAATATTAATAGAAGATTATTTAATTTATGTCAGTAATTCTGTTTCTATTTCTTCAAAGATGCCATTTTCTATATGTATGTGGGTTTGTTGTTGTTGTTGTTGTTGTTTTATTCATGTATTGATTTACTTACTTATTCTCGAAAGGTTTAAACATATTTTCAGTAATGTTAAAATTATTATTATTATTTATTGTATGTGCTATAGTTTACATTATTAAATTATTTATGTGTTTGTTTGTTTGTTGTGTTTTGAAAAAAATAAAATAAAAAAATTAAAAAAAAATAAAAAAAAAAATAAAAAATTTTTTTTTAAAAATTATTAGATTTTTAAAAATAAATATTTATTTTAAAAATGGGTATGATAATGTGTTGATATTTAAAAATTGGGGGGTATATTTTTGAAAGAATAACAGACAACATCCAAAGACAGCTTATAATGAATACGAAATAAGAAAACAATAAAATCAGGTATTATTCCCCTACTGAGATATACACAAATATTTAAAGGAGCAACTTGACAGAGTTACAGATCGATATGATTACTATTAAATATTACTTATTAATTCAATAATTATCATTTCCATCTTAATAAAGTTGGGGGTTTACATATTTATTTGAGGGTACTGTTATAAATAACTCTACTGAAACATTATTTTAAACATTTATTTAAACAAATTTATTCAAAAACACAATTTAGCGAATCATCACCAAGTTTATTCAATACAATTTTATCAATTGTAATTATATCATGAAGATCTATATTTAAAAAAAAGGAAAATGGTAAAAAATAAACATATTATTTATAAAAATAAAATTTTATTATATTTTATATAAAAATTTAATGATGTTTTAATATCCTTATACTGAAAATATTTTCGATATTAAAATCATTTGATGTTCCAATATATTTGCCTGGCCAGGGAAAATGTATTTCTTCCATCAAATAGATTGAAATATGTGAGTGTTTGATTTTATTATTATTATTATTATTATTATTATTATTATTATTATTTTTTTTTTTTTTTTTTTTTTTTTTTATAAAATTATTAATTATTATTGATTTACTAAAAGTTCTTTTCTAAAGCTTTAGGGTTGATGATGCTGCAGCTTATGAAAGCTGATGCTGATGATGAGGAATGCTGATGGTAATGAATGCTGATGATGGTGGTGATGATGATGAGGACCAAAATGAATGCTGATGATGATAATAATGCTGAGGACCAAGACGAATGCCGGTGAGGATGCTAATGATGATGATAATGCTGAGGACCAAGATGAATGCCGGTGAGGATGCTGATGATAATTCTGATGGCCAAGACGAATGCCGGTGAGGATGCTGATGATGATGATAATGCCGAGGGCCAAGACGAATACTGCTGATGAATGCTGCTGATGATGAGGTCCCAGATGAATGCCGGTGAGGATGCTATTTATTATTTAACTACTTTGGTTATATCTTAAAGCTTATTATTGTTTGATTATTATCATTACTAAATTAATGATCTTATAATTAACTATTAAATTTTTTTTTTTATTTTTTTTTAGTTGTATAAATTATAGAAATAATCCCAATAATATAAAAAAAAGATATAAACTAAATTATTGCTTTACAATTATTTTTTTAATTATTTTATAAAAAAATTAAACAATTCTTTTTTTTAATAAATAAATTTTTTTGAATTTATTTTTTATATTTTATTATTTTAATTTTTTTTTTTTTTATTGAATTAAAGAAAGCATTTTTTTTTTTTTTTCTTTATTATTTTATTCACACAAATAATAGCTTTATTTTTACAATTTTTCAACACAATAATATTTTTTTTTTTTTATAATTTTAATTAAATAATATTCACACATTTTTCAATATTTTATTTTTTCAACTTTTTCTTTCTTTATTATTTTATATATTTATATATTTTATATATATTTATATAAAATCAACCTAAATATGATAGTAAATAAAATTTTATTTCTATCATTTTTAGTTATATTTTTTTTAACAAGATTTACCCAAACACCCCAATTAAATCCAAGTTCTTCAATTTGCATTCCAGGTACTAAAATAAACTATAAATTATTAACTAAAAATAGAACTTTTTTAAAAAGTAAATATTGGATAATAAATATTAACCTTAATTTTTTTTATAGATATTCCAAACTCAACTTATATTTGGTCATCAAGTAATCCAAAAGTTGGAAATACATCCATTGTTGATGTCAATTCTAAAGGTGTTATTGGTAATAATAATTGTGCTAGATCTGTTGTCATTGTTCAAGAACCAGACCAAATTGTTTTTTCATCATCTCAAGTAGAGGTTGAAGTTGGTAAAAAATTAGTACTCTCAACTAAATTATTATCAAATCATTTAACAAAAGGAGTTCATTTCGAATCTTGCTCAATTAATAATTTAGAATGGAAAGTTAAAGATGATTCCATTTTCAAAATTTTACCACATGAAAAGGTTGACCAACAAAAGATATCAAGTGACATATGTTCATCTCGTGAATTTTTGGCTCTAAAAGAAGGCTCAACTGTTATTTCAGTTCAATACAATGGAATGAGAGAAGAAATTCGTATTTTTGCTTCTCCACCAGCTGATCAAATAGAATTTTTATTAAGTTTAGGTTCATCGGCCGAGGTTTCTTTCTGTGGTGGTAAAGAGACATGGCATTTAGAACCAAAGATTATTCCAAAACTTTCTCATCAGATAATAAAGAACAAAACTCACTCTCAATCACTCCAGGTGATAATAATTCATTCAAAGTCACTTGTCAAAAACAATCAAATGATCCACAAAATGTTATTGTGACTATTAGAAACAAAAAGAGTATTAGCAGCCCATTACCAGAAGCCCGTTCAATTAAAATTCCATTCTTTTGCCGTCAACCATCATATGTTAATATTCAATTTATAAAATTACCAACTGAAGAAGAAGGTAAACAAAAATCAGGTGAAATCAGTCGTTTAAATATTCATAATAATAGTGATTTACCATTTATTGCTATGAATTCTATTGCTAAATATGAAAAAGGTAGTACCAATTATCCAATTATAGTTGCAGATTCCATCTTTATTGCCGCCTTTGCTATTGGTCTTTATGTATATAAAAAACATATGTTTATTTATATATCAAATTTATCACAAATATCAACCTCTTTATTAGAATCATTCCGATCTCCATTTCCATACTCTTCTTTAGTATCACCAAATAGTTCACTATTTAATTATATATCAAATCTAAATTTATCACAAATATCAACCTCTTTATTAGAATCATTCCGATCTCCATTTCCATACTCTTATTTAGTATCACCAAATAGTTCACTAGTTAGTAATTATCAACAAAATAATTCAAAAAAAAAAAAAAATTAAA